GTTCCATAATTACAAATAACGATTGCAGCATGTGAAATATTAAGCCAGCCGCCCCTGACACCTCGGAGGAGGGTACCAATAACGTCCATAATTCTGATTTTTTCTTCAGGATTGATAAACATGTCGACGTTTCTCGCTAAATAAAATAAAGTTAAAAAAATAAAATTAAAATAGTTCGATGAAGTTTCACAACCTCATTAAAATATGACTACACACATTTCTTTACAGGCTTCTCAGTCTCCTGTTCACTTTCATCATCATCATCTTCTTCTTCCTCCTTTCTTATTTCTTCAAGTTTTGATTCTGCTTCAATATATGATTCCCTGAAGTTCGCAATTTCTTCTTCAACAAAATCTGCAACTCTATCTTGTAGATCCGGTTGACAAGACAGCTTTAATTCTGACAGATTGGTACCATTCGAATGGTGAAATATATCACTTGAAAATAGCCAATACATATTACCAAACGTTCGAAGCGCCTAATATTAGTGTGAATAAAATGAGTAATATGAAATTAATCAAAATCGTGTAATCAAATAAATCAAATAATACATTTAAGCCATACCGTTGACTTAACACTGTGTAATGCTTGGGATCCATATGATATTCCAACATCAAATAATGTCTGGACGATCTGATCTCTTTTTTCAATTAGATCGTTCAATACATCAAGAGATATATCTTCTACAACAAGTTCATTTGGAAAAATGTTTACGACTTTCCATAATATGTAATACCAAAGAAAATTAATTGCCGACGATACAATCTAAAAATATATATATTACCATCAATTTGACAATTAAGTAAAAAATTTTAAAGACCACATTGAAAAAATAACACCACCTTTTCTTCCTCCATATTCCCTAGTAATCCTCTTCTGACTAACCGTATAATGCAATTATAAACATTCTTGTTATTATCATCGCATGCCTCTACAGCATCGATAAAATTCACAACTGTGATTAATTGTTCTATGCGATTCAATGCTACACAAAGTGAATGAACTTGATCACTAGTAAGGCCCATTGTCAATAAGTCCTTAATTATAAATTAAAAGTTTTAGTTTCTCTTTTTAACATTCATTAGTTTAAATACGCAATATACCTTATCCTCACATTCCCTGAGGAATGTCTTAATAACTTCTTCTTGTAATTCTCCAAGTCTCGTCTCTGTCATTGATGCAAAATTTTTATATTGTCTCATATGTTGAAATGTTGTGGCAGCATGTGAAAGAACAACTGGATGTGTGTGTTTTAGATAAAGCTTCACTATATCTTCGACAAGCACCTCATAGGCCTATTAAAATAGAGGACGCTATCAATTTCTATTTATCCTAGAATTTTAGGGACTAAGATTTGTGGTTAAAATCCTAACCTTGTGAATACGCAGATCGGAATATACATCTAGATTCATCAATATAGGTATCCGTAGAACCTCAGCTATTCGACCTGCATCAGGTGCATATTTTGTCAAAAACTTAGGTAAATTGGTCACCATATTTCTCGAAATTTCGTCACGCGTTTCGTCGATTTGGGTTTCCGTCTAAAAAAAGTAATAATTTAGTATATGAAATGATTAGAGAAAATTATAATAAAATAAACCAACCTTCTTTTTGTCTTTAGTCGTATTATCTGAAAGAATTAATTGCAAGCATTTGACAAAAACCTGTACTAATACAGTTTCTTCCTGTTCGCTTAGATGATAGCATTCTTCTATAGTATCAACACTTATGCCACCACCCTTAGATGTCCGACTTTGATTTATCAAGGAATGATCTTTAGAAAGATAGTCTGCTAATTTTTGCCATTGATGCAAAATATCCAGTTCTATCCATAGATCTTGGACTGCCAAACTTATTCTACTATTCTCCACGTCACCGATACTTTGCGTTAAAATGCCGTCTTCATATTCCTCTTCATCCATTTCATCTTCTTTATGTGTATCATCTATAATTTTAGCATATTTGACCAGGAATTCTGCCAAGCACTTAAACGCTACCCAATCTCGTTTTGCAGTGGTTGCTGCATTGCCACTACCGTTTACAC